CCATCCAAAATCCTGTTACCATCCAGGTCCTGTTTCACTTTCTGCTTTCCCTCATCCACTCGCAGAAATAGCTCCTGTGTTTATTAGCTTTGCTCATTTTCTCTTCTGTGACAATATCGTCCCGAACAGGGGATACCTGTCATTCCCTGGTCAGCCCAACGGGTCGCGAGGTTCTGTTGGCTGTGCTCAGCAAAGTGACTCTTACACCCACTTGGACGGGAGACCAAAATGAGCTCTATCAACAAAGGTTCCGGTATCGAGACACAATGAGCACTGAAGAGCTCCACTATCCCCTCTAGGGGGCGCCACAGGGACCCAACGAACAGTACACATGAGACCAGGATACCACAAATTCTCTCAGTGTAACACCTGATGCAGGCTTTGGCAAACTATGTCAGCAGATTGATTGTCATGCATCAACCGTATCACTGTTAATCACATGTTAATCACAACATGCAGACATTTTTACAGCTGTGTGCCGTAAAAATGTCTCTTTTCTACCTGTCAGGTCCTGACCAGAGGTGGGTAGTTCAGTCCAGTGAGTAAAAGTCCAGGTCAGGATTTTGTTTCAACCAACCAGTTCAGCACTCTGTGGCTGTGACTCTCTATACTCAACTGATTGGTTGAAACAAAATCTTGGTCTGGACTTTTACTCTCTGGACCTGGATTGCCCACCACTGATCCTTACTGGCTACAGGTGGTACAGCCCTTTACAACGTGGCTTCCAGCGCCCTTGACAAAGATGGCGGCATTTCCTGCTATTAAGGCTCGCCTGTGTCTGCATCTCCACCAACCTCTTCTGCTCTTCTTCCTCCTTCAGGATTTCCCTGACTTCTACATTAAACCACAATAATGTCATAGCTGGGCTCCTGCTGTTATTTTACTTACATTCATTTGCAGTTAATGGTGCCACATTGACAGACCACCTCTATTTAGCCAAATTTATTGTATTTAATGCTGTTTCTGTATATTAATCTGGCATGATACTGTTTTGTATCAATATTGAGCTTCACATTACTGGCTTCAGTACTTTTCTTGGCAAGGATGATGTTTCACAGAAGTAACTTATTTGGGATAAAAACATCCCAAGGGAAAACAGCCCCCCCCAGCATAAACGAACAACACATACGTCGGGTGCTGACTGTCTTTGAAGATTTTTCCATCCAGAGAACACTGACGTTCAAAGAAATAAAATAGACAAACTACACAAATGTTTGCTTGTTTCAAATAAATTTAAAAGCCAGTTCCCCTGAAAATCCTTTCAAATTCTGCAGGCTTGTCATTCGTTTCATGTTTCGTTGATAACAGTTTGTTCTTGATAGCAGCACACAATTCCCAGGTGGTATTTTTGTTCCATAATTTGCTTTCCCATAGGAACAAAGCTTAGTCAGAGCCGGAAGTTTAGAAGTGCTCCCTTTTCGTAAAATCACCACGACACGAGAACGCACCGTCGCTGTATGAAGCCAAATATGGCAACCTGATGGAGGACGATCAGGAACAAGCGGACCGGCAATGAGATCAAGGGTTGGCAGTCAGAGCAGAAACACACGGATCATTTCCAGAGACCTTCAATACACACTGCAACAAGATCCTCCCCCCATAAATATGCTTCCATGTAACCAGAATAAGGGATATTTCCTAATTAGTTATACATCAATGCATCAGCAGTAGCGACTCTCAGCAGATACAAAGCAGGGCTTTTCTTTGGTTCATCTCAAGCACAAGAAACCAGCCCTCAGTCATGTCACAAAGCACAGACCCTGTGGTGCTGCCATCCATTCTCTATTTCATAAATCCAATACTATTCCAGTATGAGTCCAATGGACAAACAGTGCTGATATGTGCTGTTATTTATTGGGCCAATTTTCTACCTATTAGCCATGCAGAAATTCAGTATTTATCCTGATAGAAGTGGTGGCGTTGACTCAGACAATGCGGCTACACAGCATGGACATTATATTCGCGTTGCTGTTAATGTAGTTTGATTGATTCCTTCGCAAATCATGCTTCAGTCCACAATACCAGAGGCCTCACCGATTCTCTCATGAAAAAGATTTCAGGTGACGTCCGTTTCAACTTCGATCCCGGCGTCCGTGCCCCGACGAATCGTGCAATAAAAACTAAAGGATGTTTCATGAATCGTGCCCTAACTTCAGGACACATCCTCGTGTGGAATGGATGCTGTTTCACTTGGGCTGTACAGAGCTACAGACAACCAGCAGGCAGTAAGTTTTGCCCTTTGCATGAAGACTCAGACATGATTAGTCTCTTTTAAATATTTTTATTATACCTATTAATATACTATAGTAGCATAAAACAACTGATGTGGCGGCTGTTTTAGCAGCAGTAATGTGGGGAAATTACCAAGATTAATCCTAGAGCTGATCATGAAACAGAACAACAAGAAAATGACTTTATTATTGTTGTTTATCATGGTTGCCATGACATTCCATCACGAAACGATTGGAGAATGCGCCAAAATGCCACTTTTTAATCGATTCACATTAATTGCACCATTCCCCCCATTTAGCCACTGTATCAATTAATTAACTTGCATTAATAGGAAAGAAGAGGCTCTGCGATTAGCATATGAAAAGCGGTACACTGCCTGTTGCGGCTGACATTCAGAAATGATACAAGCCAAAGATTGTTTATAATGAGTCACCGCATGTAGAATGGATGTGTAGCATAACATTCCACTTTTTACACCCTGGGCAAAATCTACACAGTATTTAGTTATAAGTCAGGTTACGACTGTAAGAGGGAGAGAGTTTTTCTCTCGCTCCAGTGAAGCTGATTGTCTTGTCACTGGCTTTCCTCTGGCTCAGCCGTGGTGCACGCCGGTTAAGGTGCACTTTTAAATGCTACTGTCCCTAATTGTTCTCTGCTTGGTCATCATGCTCTATGTGTGAATAAGAGCTGCCAGATTGTCCGTCGCTAAGGGAATGCAAATGTATAAAAGCACTGGCAGACATAACAGGATGATCACTGTTACTTTATAAGCCAGCCATGTAAAATCCAGGAATCTACCGTCCTCTACTGATTTGTTAAAATCACCTTTCCTTTATTAATACATTAATAAGTTACCATTAAATCTTACATGGTGAAATGTTAAAGTCGATGGTGAGGAAAACTGAGCGGAAGGAAATGTCGAAATTATGTCACTTCAAAGAAATCCAGTTCAGTGCTGCCAATATGGCTCACGATCTAGGGGGGCTTTGACGGGAAATCATGGCCCTTTCGGTGGAAGACTTTTAAGGTCGAGTGATGCACTCAGAATGAACAATGTGAGACATGGGGAATTACCCAACATAGCGAGGGGCTCCTCTGAAAGGTCAAAGCCATTCTACGTGGAGAGGAGACAAGTGGTCATGTGACTATCGACAAGGTTAGGATTGGTCCTTAAACCGGGTGCCTACAACACAACCTATCCTATAGCTGTCTTATACAAACAACACTGACATCTACATGAGATCTAAATGGGCCCTATTTCATTCTTACTGAACTGTGAACCAGTCCTTATGATACTATATTTAGGTAATAAAATATAAAGTATTAAATTTGCGATTCAAACTGACGTAGTGTTTTTTTTACAGCATGCATGCAAATCCATTGTTCTCTCAAAGGAATCTTAGGAGGTCCTATGCTGTGGGGCTGTGCAGAGACCTGCAAGAGAGTCTGGATGCTGATTAGTCACCTATGTCAGTAGGAGCAGATCGTGCGTATGGGTCACGGTACAAATGAAAGCTCCCTCAAAAGAATGACATCACCCCGAGAACAGTTTTTCACACCAACGTACACTGCTGTAGAGACAACAAATGGCCAAACTCAGCCATCCCAGAGAGGTGCATTTGGCAGATATCATGTGACCTATTACACAAGAGTGACTCAAGCCTTCAGTGGGCATCCGTGAAGCAGCCTGTCACTGCCTTGCATTACATTTCTTCTGATTTTCAACACACGTAATTAGGCTCATTACATTGGAGAGCCACGAGATGCAGAAAACAGCAGAAGAATTATGTGTAACCAATTAATTTAAAAAAAATAATAATGAAGTGAAAAATTAAGAAACACTCATAATCACGCTCCCTAACTGTGCAAATTGGCTATGAAGCTCAGTCCAGGAATGACAGCTTAATGCACACTTGTTTACATGAGAGTTCTGCTTTTGTATGGAATATGTGTCTGTGTGTGTACACACACATACATGCATGCATACATACAGTACACACTTCACCAGAACAAACAAATAGATGAAATATTACTCAGGTCATTTAAGTTTGAGAGATACCATGGTGATCCATTTTGTTTCCAAATTATCCTTTGTTTCTATTTTTTTCATCAATAGTAAGTATTTTCAAAAATAGTATTTTCAAAACTAAAAATGAAAACACGTGCATGGTTCGCTGCAGTAAACACATATAGATGCTATGAAGGTCCGATTCCAGAAGCAAAGAATATCCGTGTTGAACCAGAATTGACAGAAAATACTAATTTACCTTGACTTCCCTCTGGGGGGCAGGAATAAATATTCCAAGAGCCGTTTAATTTATCTGCGCAGTCATGTCTGGGGTCAAGACACGGGAAAGATTAACAGAAGCGCTGCACTCGCCTGTAACTATTTGCATGTTTGCTAGCGTGGTTTAATTAGGCGAATCATGCGGGGGGGGGGGAATAGATAATTTTCTAAAAGTCGTCATTCTGAGCTACTGCCTGCGGAGGGACCGGCTTCAGTACAGCGGAGTAGAAGTACGTAGGATAAGTTCAAGTATAGTCGGCTGCGTCTCCCAGGATATCCACCCCAGTTCGGAGAGCCCAGTGTACCTACCAGCCTCACACCTGGTATTAGCGCTTGAATCACCGTAACCTACAACCTGGATGCGCAAAGCGGCATCACTGTGCTCTTCCAGTGCGGGACCCGAGCACAACGTCCGGTACCGGGATCATCACCAAGGCACTTAATCGACATGCCTTAACTTAACCTTTGGTGGTGAACTTACCAGTTGAATGCCACATATAAAGGCGAGTGTACATCGACCACTGCAACAGCCCATGGTTAACAGTCCGACTAGCGTGCTCGCTCCACGTGGGTCGCTTTAACTCCAAAATCCCTAATCTCTCCGGTGTTGACAAAGCAGTTCCAGGCAGAGACGAGGACCAATTCACTTCCACCCGCGATTCATCAATTGCAACTGTCTTCCGTCATGCATACCTTTATCCGCCGTATAGTGTTCTTCTATTTTGCGCACAAAATTGTATCCGATCGTGGAGGCAATTAAGACAGATCGCGGCTATTATTCCGGCTGGTTATCGTCAGTGGGTCCAATTTTTAGCCAGTTGATCAAGTCGAAAATTTCTGACTGTTAGGTCAGAATAGGTATCGGTGGCCAGTCTCTTGTTAATAAAATAATATAAAAACAAGACACATGCATGCTCCGGTTCATAGGGCTCCAAAACCTATTATTATTATTATTATTATTATTATTATTATTATTATTATTATTATTATTCTACAAAGTGAACATAAAGAGGCGATAGAAAAAGCATCTAGTCAGAAGTCCGTCTCATTGTTCTGGGTTCAGATGAGCGATGTCAGTCACTACAGTTCGTTGCCGAGACAAAGCATAGTGTTGTTTACGGCGATATAGCTGCTCCCATCGCTCCTCCCTCCACTGATAGGGTGTCCAGGTCGGGAGATACAGCAGATTTTACCGGGTTAACGACGGACGGGAAAAGCCTGCCGCTGTTATCTTTTCAGAAGTAGACAGAGCAATTTGCCCATGCGATCCAGCCCAATAACTGACGTTTCTCCGTTAAGCCAGATTCCGTTGCTTCATCAGGCGAACTGACGGGACACATGTACGGGTCAGGATGCCAGTCCGTGTCCGGGATCGGCGGAGCCTCAGCGCCGCGCTTCTCCGGGAGCCCAGCGCATTGCCCTAGATGTCCTCTGTACCGGGGAACGGCTGTAAAGCACGTATGGGCGGCGATGCGATGTCGATCGACGGCGGCCAGTCACGGAGAAGGGGGGGACAATGGAGGGACGCGGAGCACCTTGCGCCGCCACCATCTGACGCTCCAGATTGAATGAGCCGCACGCAGTCATTCGCGGCGGGAAGCGGCTGGACTGCTTTCGCACGCTGAGCCCGGGACTCCGGCGGCACTCGAGCTCAGCCCCGATCTACCCATTTAGATACATGGGATGAGCTCTCCGCTCCATTTCGCAGTAGGCGTTAGGATCGGGAGTTTTTTCCATATTCATATGTTGCCGTCATTACTTTTTTGTCCGCTTCAGAAATAACTGACAGCACGTTTTTGTTTTAATCGTTAGAATATTCCCTGTTTTCCACAGTCTTCTTAATTGAAAAACTATTATATCCAATGCAACATGAAACGGGCACGATTATAAGATATATGCTTTTAAATATGCGCTATCATTGGATAAGGAAAATTTCTGTAGTTTAATACAGTATTTAATGTAGTATAAACTGGACTGACATATTTAGACTGTTTTCCAATATATGTATTGTATTTATGGAAAATATAAACTATAGAGTGTCAAAACATTAGTGAGTAAGCATTCAATCTTAAATTGTATTTATTTTTATGTTAGCCTAATATTACAACTTATGAAATTGCTATTGAAATTTAAGCACTGTGTTTTCACGAGTCTTGCGGGATTCATACTGTATAAACACTATCACGTTAATTTAACGCACCCTGTTCTGCTGCGTGGTCATGACAATTACGTCTCAATTTTCATCATTATGCTCATTTTTAACTTTGTGTATGACATGGCTTAAACGGCATGTATACTCTTTTGCGACGATGACCTGATTATACTTACAGATTTCATGCAATTATTCTCTTAAGGCCTTCATGTACATTAAATATTTCTTTTGGGGAGGGAAAATGTTAGGCGTAGTCATCTGGGGCGATCTAAGGATTGGCTTCACTGTTTAACAGACAGGAGAGCTCTGTGTTTATGCGAATACTTATCAGTCTTTACCAGATGTCTTCTCTTGGTAAAATTGGATGTTGGTGGTGAATAGCTGTGAAATTTGAACTTTGAAATTCGATGGTTGTTGCATTAATTTGTACAGCAAGGCTAACATGCAGTAAAGGGAGTGACAGCAGCACCGTGCGGGACATGGTGGAGATGAATCCATTGAATTATTTATATTAAAAAGTCAATACAAAGATTTAAATGAAATACTGGATATGCACGCCTGTCTATATGTATGCATGCACGTTTAAAGTGAATTCTTGCCCTTTCGGTGGTGTAACGTTCCTCTCCTCAAATTTCATAAATAATGAGTATAATTTTAACCCAAATTCGCAAATTGAAGATTTCGATGTATACAGTTAGAAACAGTACATTTCAGGAAAACTGAAAGAGAAACGGTCCCTAAGGTAGCCTATGTCTGTGGAAAAAGGCAATCCACTCCCAGTGTTAATGGTTTATTCATAACACACTCTCATTATACACTGGTAAATAACAACTGCAATTTATATCGAAATGCCACATAATGGACTGGACGATGTTATTTTAGATGCGCCCGGACCTTTTGTAACAGACTGTACCCTCAAAGAAAGTCTGTTGCCTGAATATCAGTGGGAATTAAGCGGTGTTACAGAGTCAAACCAATAGACCCCAAATCCTTCCGTGTGCAGCTGTTTAAACGTGCTGGCGATAATAATAACAAACACGGTAATTATGCAAACACAACATGAAATTGTGCAAAAATATTTGCTTTAGGTGTAACACAGAATGAAGTTTCACTATATTACCGCGGTTTATTTCTGCCTTTCCTCCAGGGGCAGCTGCAGTTTATTTTCAGGGGAGGGGTGCGGGAGGGGCACGGGGAGGGAGCGACACTGACATGGGGGAGGGGGCATCCTCGACGAGGATACGAGTACTGGAGACTTCGCCTGCAAAAAACACCGTATTCTTTTACATTACACGGTAATTGCTATGATGTCTTGTTCCTGTGTTGGAAAACAGGTCGACATCGTCCAAAGCCAATGAAAATGTGGGGGTGAAAATGTGGGGGGGGGGGACCCGACCCAGGGGACCGATCCGATTTCGGGACAGATTTCTGGACGCTTTTATGATGCGGTCTAAATTTTGTGGTGAGATAGAGCTCTCGGTTTGTTAATGTCTTTTCTCCCCCATTGAGTGACTGGTTTTCTTGGCGGAGGGCAGTTGGTAGCCTACCAGTCTCCTGGCTCTGAAGAGGCACCCGCATGCCACCTTCAAGATCTCAGAAAACTCATGCGGGGAAGCCGTAGAGTAAACGTCTAACACAGCAATTATATTAGTGTAAAATAGGAATAGATAAAAGGGAGAACACCAAGTGGTTTATATGAAGCTGACAGTCTTGCACTCTTCACAGCCATTTCTACGGATGATGTTTTGTTGCTTTAGATCAAAGCATCCACGCAGTGGCACTACGACAGATGAATCCCCGACGCTTGAATCCAGTCGACTTGGTTAACGGCTGATTTAAAACGTATACTGTACTGGCGACTGTCCTATGGTGTAACGATTGGGCTGCGTACTTTATTTTATTCATGTGGCAGATAAATAGGCCTAAGTTACTGGCTACTCCAAACTGCAGCCTCGTCTAAATCACTTTAACGACGAAAAATTATATAAACAAGCGAAATTAATATGAATTTGTGAACAGAAATACCGATCCTTTTGGAATTTACCGACTGTTTCTCTTGATTTCCATTGTCACTATGGTGTCCGGGGTAGTAGGGCTAACAGGCTAGTCATTGTGTGATAAAGTATGAAGAGAGTATACGAGCATAATGTACCAAAGCAACAAAAAATTACTGGTTAACGTCACAAACAACTTAACTATTCAGTGCCCTGAGTTCCTACATTTAATAAATCCAAATTCACGTTTTCTTTGTTGATCGTGTCAGATGCATTTAATTGTGTGAGAAATAAATCACAGTGTCTTTTCAAACATTAGCAAATTAAGACTAGCTAGCCAATTTCTCTTTTGACATAAATGTGATCCCATTTTGTAATCGATGTTGTCAGAATATAAGTATGCTGTGTTTACCTTAAACCCCAGGATGGGGCGCCAAGCCATCGCAGTCCTGTTAAATCAGTACATAAAATTCACAAGAGTTTGTTTCTTTGTTTGTTTGTTTGTGAATAGTGGAATCCATGAAACAATAAGACTTAACAGCAATAATAATAATAACAAAAACAACAAAAAAATACTGATCATGGATAAAAATTGCGCTAGGAATGACAGTTCAGGCCAAAAGTGTTTCTTTGGGCTATTTCTGAAACAGACTGTATTTAATACAATCCTTTTGTCTGATAAAATATTATCCAAATTAGCTCTTTGTTCATTTTAGACAAAAACAGCTAGTAAGGAACTAAACAAAGACAAATTATTGGGTGCCCCGTGGGTCTTCAATTGTTAATACTGACCGTATGTGGTAAAGAAAAGGTTTTGGTTGTTGTGTTTTTAATTGTCACACGGTTCCAAAATCATGCCAAATGTATCCATGTGTTGAAAGTAAAAGCTGTAAGATGTACAAACAAAATACGGCTTACTTAATAAATCGGCTGCATGTGCTGCAGCGTTAACAGTTGCCAGGCAGTATGCAGAACGACACTGGTGTACTTAATGAAAATGTTTACACTGGGCTGAGTATACAGATCAGCTAAAGTAACATGGATACAGTACATCCATGAGGTGGACGCTCAGGATTTAAGCTGGCCCAGTTAAATTTAGTAAAAATGCCTACGGTGAAGTCAGTAATAACCGCTGAGTGACCTACTGCCCCCTTGTGGTTCTGATATATTATTTCAGTGGTTGCCACAAAGCTGAGCAATGATTAATTTTTAATTTGATAAATTGCGCAGTAAGAGGTTATCTGGTGTAGCTTCCGACAATGTTTTGCTCATGTGGTTCTCACCGCAAGCCTGTCCTGGATAAACAGTTACGTAATAGTGATTGTTATGGACGGACTGGAACATGTGCAGTAAACAGGTCCGCTTGGTTTGCACAGGATTCTTCTAGCATCTGGTTGTAGAATCTGCAGTTCTGTGAACCGGTGTCTTAAAATTGCCCTCGTGAGTGATTTCATGCCGGCCGCCCCTTTTCTTCGGCACTGTACTTCCTGCGAGGTGCCTCCTGGGGCAGAGGATCTATATTCGTTTCAGTTATTTAACGCACGCTTTCGTTCAAAGTGATGCATAGGAGAGGATCTGAAAGCAGGGTCAGTCAGAGGCCCAGTAGCAACTGGGGTTAAGGGCTATGCTAAAGGGCCTGATGGTCAAATTATTACCCTGCAGGTCTTGGGATTTGAACCCCATGAGCAACTGGTCACTGGCACTGATCTGTAAGCTGCTGAGCTTCACACTGTCCTCATTGTTAGAATTTTACAGACTGTTCGGGTGGAAGATGTCCACTGGGTCCTTGACCAGCAGGGTCACCGTACCTTCTCCTCCAGTTTGACCACCCTGCCCTGAATGATCTGCTGCACCTGCTCCAGGTACCAGCGCTGGTCCTCGTTGGGGACCAGGGCTTTGACCTCCATCTCCATCTCCTCTCTCTCTTTTGCACTTTCTCTGGCCTCCGAAGCCTCCTATATGTGTGGTAAGTTATGCATGGATGTGCAATATATATATATACTGACACAAAATTGTTGGGGTGAAACGGAGAGCATGAATGATGTAGACCTTCCCCCCTTCCGAGAAGTGATTAAGGTGACCACATGACTTAGGAGTGTTATTTTCAGCCAGCGATCTTGAGGCTGGGGACGGTCCGCTGGGAAACCGATTATGGAAAATGTTATTAAAAGCTGCACTAGTTATGAACTCTGAAGCTGGGGTGTTGGAGCGCATGCCCTAGGGTGTGATAGTACCTAGGAAAGGCTACTAGAGCCCACTGCCACCCGTCCGCTACAGAGAGAGATGCCTTTTTATATACATACATCGCAATGAACCCTGTGACAAGGAAAAAAAAAGTACAAAATGTTTCTAGGTTTCATACGTGTTATTAATGATGTTCCAAACTGCGGTGGTCAGGGCTGGTGTGTCATTTTGCGGAAGGACTCCTAAATTATGTATTCTCATGCTGACAGAGTCGCTGTAATAATATATTTCGGTAAGTGAAGTGGCCTTTTTAAAATCCATGCTGTATCACCTTCGACTTTTCTCAAAAACAGTACCCTAAGGTAGTCTGTTAGGAAATAAGCTAGGCATTCGTAAATTGTCTGTTTTATTTTATATGTATGTTGTCTGTGCTCTATGTACTTGCTGCTATATGGACAAGAATTTCCCCCGGGATCAATAAAGTCTATCTTATCTTATCTTATCTTATCTTATCTTATCTTATCTTATCTTATCTTATCTTATCTTTGTATGCTTGCATGTCTTTGCGATTAAATAAACGTCCTCTGCAGGAATAGCTTTCATTGATGCTTTTTTTCCCCCCATAAATGACCCTTTTGCTGTGCTTGAAAGTCGCCCTTGGGGTCCGGAGCCCACCCGGCCGCATAGCAGTCACCGCTGTTCGGTTCCTCCGAACGTTTCGCTTTGATGGGGAGAATGAAAGGGGACAGGATCAGTAACAAAACATGTTCCTCCGAACTGCAACAGGCCTTTAATTGATAGTGTGTGTGATCAGCAACAACACACGTGGTACGAGACACGTAAGGAAGCGAAGCCCAGATGTCCCTCTGAGGTGCCTGTAATTCAGTCCTTTCGCAAAATCCCCATTTCAGCCCTTGTAGTCACTGGCAGTAGCTATTCTCCAGTCAGCCGTGGATTTTGAGGCAGGACCAGGCGAAATTGCATCAAGCGACGCTCGTGAAAACAAAGCACAGAAGCCGAGTGTCGCACCGTAGTGCACGATCGGCGAAGGGCTGATCTTGGGAGGGCTGTCAACTCCACCGAATTACTCTGGTGAAAGGAATGCAGCCACAAAGAAGACTGAAAGTCAAATTTATTTATAAACAAAGTTTATAGACCAAAGTGCTGTACAGGGGCACCAAAAAGAAAGAAATTAAAACAAAACTGAGTATAACAGAACATAAAATCATCACATAAACACAGATAACCAAGAAGTATTGACAGAGGGGAGCTTGTCAGATAGTTAACATGATTTAAAAAATAGAGATAAAAAATAGAGAATAAAAGTGTGTGTGGGATTTAAAAACATGAACAGAGAGAGCAGATCTGATGGCCGGGGGGGGGCGAGGGGACTATTCCACAATCTGAGGGCCGCAAGAGTACCGTTTAGTTTCTGTTTGGAGTGAGGGATTATCAGAAAACCCATCAAAGAACTGCATCAAAGAAGGCGATTCCACTCCTCTGACAAAGATGGACTGTTTTTGTAAAGGCTCTCTAAATATTTAATATTTAAACCAGTTTTTAGCTAGTTTTAGACAGACAGGGTCTGAAACGGATGACGGAATGAGGCCTGAGGTTTCAGGGTCTAGATCAGAGTGGGAAGGACACATCTTTGAAGCGACAGTCACAATGATGACAAATTAAGAGTTGTGTTTTTCTCCAGCCTGTTTGGTGCATTGATAGACACCCACATCATCTATCTGCCTACATAGTGCACACAAAAGGACATTTTTTTGGGAGATGTTTTTATCCAAAGAAACATACAGTTGAGAAAACAAGGTCAGCCATTCCTTGAAGCAGTTAATATTAAAAGCCTTGCTCAAGGACCCAACGATGAAATCACTCTGCCAAATTAGGGATTGGAACTAACAACCATACAACCACTAGCCCACTGAGCCACACACCGCTGGGCATAATGATTTTGCAAATACATAGATATGCAGCATATCAAATCATCCATCCATCCATTCATTTTCTGTAACCGCTTATCCTAATCAGGGTCATTGGGGGTCCAGAGCCTATCGCAGAGGCTACAGGCACAACGATGGGAACAACCAAGGTTGTGGCACCAACTCATCGCTCTCACACACCAGTCCATATTACTTCATTGCAACAATAAAGGGGTAAGCAGTTACTGGAGATGTATCAACTGGTGGATGGAAATTTTAACAATTAATTACTACATCCATTTAGAAAGCCTTTAGATTACCTACAGGCTATGGGTGCTCTGGATATTAAGTCTGCCCTGCTTCGTTTTAGCCTACCTCTCGGTCTGTAAATAGCCCACTTTTGTGCGGGTATGTGGAATCTGCCAGCCACCCTTCGGCACCGGAGCCTTGGATCTGGACCCTCTGAGTCACACACCTGCATCCTTCTGTGAGCCAACGGGGATTCCAGCAGAGCGGGGATGGTGCCTGGGCTCGACGGGGTCCGTGGGGAGGCCAGGAGGCAGGGCTGCTATCCTGCACGCTTTGCTCCATCTCCTTTGGATCATCTGCCAACATCTCACCCGGGCCTGTACCCACAATATGGTGCACTAAAACCTAAATGCTAAATTTACACAGTGCACCTGCACTATTCTGTGTCAGGTAGTAATTCTAACTTGGTATATATTTCATGCCAAATATACAGACATTTTAAAAATAAACGAAGTCAAGGGTATATTTATTTTCATTTATGCAGATAAAGTGGTCACCTTGTGATGGACTGGCATCCCATCAAGGGTGAACCACTGCCTTTACTTTGTGATCCTCACCAGGATAAGTAGCTGGAAGATAGAGGCATGGATTGATTGATGTTGTTGCCTTGAGATGGATCGGCGTCGTGTCTGGGGTGTAGCCCGGTGCTGGCCCAGTGCACCACGACACTGAGCCGGATAAGGGGCTACAGAAGACGGATCTGCTGTACTTATGTTTGGAACAGGTGGATTTTGTGCCTTAAATATAATCTAGTCTGACGCTGCACATTTGTATCTCAGACCATCACTGCATTGCTGCTGTTTCAGGCTGGTTCTCACCTGCTTCCCTACTATGTATTTTTGAGTCGATAACACATAAATGACCTCTGCTTATCACGCCATGACGCCTTTCCCTTCACATCCATTTATTTCAAATAGATATCGCAGTGTGGACCAGCAGTCTTTAAGTATTAATGAGTACATCAGCAGTTCTTTGAAGCAGTGAGCCAGACACAGTCCTCTCTACTCACCATTCCTCTGTGTACGCATTAGTTCACTGCAAAACCAGTGGGTCTTATAAAGCAGTGATTACAGTGAAAGCCTCCGTAGAAGAGGAAGCACCTTCTCTCCTTAAGAACAGGACAAAGCATATTTCTCGACATTTTCTACAGGAAATGTCACTGTCTAACAGTCACGGCTTCATAAAAGTGCGAGGTCAGTAGTTTTCGGCTCTGTAAACACAGCATAGATGCCAGTTCTAAACCCTTGCTCATAACTCCTGCATCAACCTAGTGCCTGTTAATATTTGCGATTGTGTGTTTGACAGGTTGGCGTTCGTTTGTGGTAGATTAATGCGGCAAGGTAACTTGAGATGTCTGAGCATCACTGTCATGAAGGTGCTGTCGTTCAGAGCAGTGCTCACACTACATCGTACGATTTAGCGTTGGCCCCTACCCTCTTGAACCATACCAGTTCATATTTCAAGTTTGACAAGTTTATTAATTCATTCATTAAAGTTAAGAAGCACTGCTTTATCGTTGGCTGATTGAGAGGTCATCCCAAAAACCCGCACTCACTTCAGCCCTCCATGGATTAGGCTCTCCACCCCTGGCTTTTGACGGAGCAGAGCTGTATGTATTCATTCAGAACGTCAGGACGTCATTTGGGATGAGAGGCAGTAAGAGCTTGGTGATAACGTGCTTTTAGGCAACTCCAGCTGCAACAAAAACATGTTCAGGATGTTCACACCGCGAACCGACATGTGAAGGTGTCAGATTTGGGCAAACTGGGCATTTTAAGAATCTGTTGGGTTTTTTTTTCCCCCCCCACCAGTTTAAACTTTATCCAAAAAGACATTTTCACTGGCACGGCCTGGGAATGAAGACGCCCTAATACTGTATCTGGTCTCACCGAAAAATATAAAACCTGCCACAGCATTTTTTTAGACCCACTTCTGACATTTGCATCAGATTTTGTTCCACAAGCTCTGCAGACATCAGGGACTGTGACTGTGGTGTCGGAGGCACGCAGATTGCAGCCGATTTCATCAGCAGCGGCGGTTTATTTAGTTCACGCTCACAAAAATGTGCGAGGCTAACCCGTATGATAATGCACACGCCTGTGGATGCGTGCAAAAGGCTGAGATGAAATGACCTCTTAAGAAATAACATTTATGTCTTTAACTTTATCCTTTGATAGCTGCCCTACTTATTACACTCATCTGATTAATATGCTGAAATGTGCTGAAAACGATGAATGCCTTTTCCCGGGAGACTTTTCCCGCAGTAGTTCATATTTAATCTTGAACTAGGTGAGACATGTTCTTCAAACCTTATCGTAATGCGTGCATGACAAATTTCACCCATAGTCCCCTGCGGTGCTTCCTAGTAGTCAGAGGTCAACAAGTTAATCTGTGGTTGATGCTCGTCACGGGTTAGTTTAGGTATCAGACCTGAGAGCTGCGCGCATTTTTTTCTAGCGTGGCTGACTTTGTGCTAGTTATAACGGGCCTGCACCTTGGTTGCAGCCTGCGGGTGATGTGCATGCATATGCATGAGTTCCGTCGCATTTCCAGTAAACTGAGGATCTCCGTCTCCGGAGCGTGGCTCCTTGCTGGCTGATCGAACACGAGAGAGCGGAGAAATGCGTCCAGTCGATTAACGAGAGCGCCCATCTCCTCCCCCCCAGCCCACCCCCCAGAACGAGCCCTCTGGAACCCCCTGCCGACAGTAAAGCACCCAGCAAGTCACGCCCTGAGACTTAAAAGGCAAAGAGTAACGCAGCTGGTGACTGGGACTCTAAGAATAACCCAGGCCGGCCACTAATGGATAAGGTTACCTTGAAGCCCCCGAGCTCAGCTTTCTGACCCACACCCGTGACACACCGGCCACTCGCCGGGGCCTCCCGCTGTCCACCGCCGCCTCGCGTTCCTCCCCCTTGCACCCCGATCCTCCTTTCCCCCAACAAACCCCTCCGTCCGTGAAGATGAGAAGCAAAGCTCACTGAATTTACCCCCGGCCGTGACAACAGGTGCTTTCTTCTACTTTTTCTTTTTTTTTTTTTGGGGGGGGAGGGTAAAAATAGGCCCACCCCGCCGTCTTGGAAGAGCCTGTTCCAGCGGGGGCCAGCGCCTCGGTCAGCAGTCGCCCGGGATCGGTGCCCAAGTCCCACTGGCATAGTGAACCTCCCTGCAGAGCAGCACTGGCAGCATGACGGAGACGGCAATGGAAGGTACCGTAATCTCGCTCTCCTCTACGAAGTCCGTGCTTCGCGCTTTAACCCCGGCCCGGCTCGCTGGCTCCGTGGGACGCCGGTTTCTCTCTGTGGACCCTCGTTAAAGATATACCGCAAGAATATACATATAAGCGTGACCCAGCGGTGAGAAATATGACAGGTGAATGCGTGTGTTTCTGTGTGCGCGTGTCTAATCCTCGGGAACGCATCGGGAATTTGAAGATACTTTTTCGTAACAGTTTAAAGGGTTTAACTCCATTAAGAAGTAGCGGCTAGCTGACAGTATGGGGGAATGAAGCCTCGTAAACAGATGGCATTGTTTGCTGGGAATCTTGGTGTGCTCCCCCCATCTGCAGTGGCAGATTTTTCATTTATCCCCCCCCCTTCATAAAGTATGCAAATCGATTTACCAAACAAAATAAATCGGGGCCCCCCTAATCTCAACTCCGGGACGGCTCCAAAATGCTCGGTCAGTTGCCATGGATATGGTGCACGGATCCCGGAGGTAGAAGCCTGGGCAGAGATCAGCCCTCCGGCCTGGGTGGCAGGAAGTGACATCGTCACGTTTTCCTAATTTGGTCTTTTAGAAAGAGGAGGCACGGCCCGCCATGTGGGCCATCCCTGTGCCGCCCCCCCCGGTGTGTCTCTCACACGTGCACATGCACACACAGACTGGCGTGAGATGTGCATTGTTTAGTTTTTTTTGTTTGTTTTTTTTGAGCACTGGCTGTAACCGGAGCAGCACTGAGGGGAAGCACAACATATGGCTGCTTGAGTCAGCAGTCTGAGGCGATCTATAATCCGGGGCCTGGTGGCAGCGTAAAAGGCACCTAACAGGTGCTCCAGCCTGACAGCTTTCAGCGCGAGTACCCCACCCCCCCACCCCCCCACCTCCACACGCGTCCAGTTCAGAACAATACCCAAGCAGGCTGCCTTTCATGGTCCACCAACCGCTGCCACCTGCTGACTGCCAAGTCCGCTTTAATTGACGATGCTCTTTTGCTTTTTAGATTTCATTTCACGGTGCCCTTCGGAATGGAATAATACCGCGGCCACAAATAAATACTCAGGGACGATTAAAACAAAACAAAAAAATCGCCAAGCACAGAGGAAGAGGGCCGTCAGAACAAAACCTACAAGCGCTATAGTAACCACTGCAGACTTCAAGGCATGCAATTAATACACACAAATAGGAGAAATCAAGAGCAGCTTCTGCATATAATTATAAGATCAGTGAAAGAGCTCTGAGGTATTGTTATTGTGAAGGAACATCACAGTTTCAAGGCAAGGAATGCAGAGGAAAAGTGTGATAAAGGAAAATGCAATTAGTCGGTACAGTAAAATGATTGAAGAAAAATAGAATGATCCGGGGCCAGTATGTCACATGTGGAGGTAAAGCTCTGCGTCTGTGGTCTGTCTGTCTTGTCGTAAGGTGGCCGGTCTGGATCATTTCAGTGAAATGAGAGGCGCTAAATTGCAGACCGCATTCATACAGACCACATTCATACAGACCACTTAGACAGTGCCGTCAAGCTGAACACCTTCTCTTTGGCCAGACAGACACAATTAGAGTGTTTGAATTCTGCTGCTTTTTATGTTCTTGTTGTTGTTGCTAAATCCGGCTGCCTGGCACTATATAACAAGAACGGCAGAGCTTCTCAGTAGGCCCGGGGAGGAAGATTACGGAGCAGAGCGCAGAAATTTCAAAAGACGCCGAGACAGACAATACTGTTCGATTTTATTTCCAAAATGTAAATGAGGTATCAAAGGACAAGAATGTAGTATTTGTGATTTCTCGAATTCCAGTTCTAGATGTTACCACAAACCAGACCAAGAGGAAGCATTGTACAGCTGAAATCTGATACTGGTTGGGTAAGGTACACTTCAGCAAAGTGAACCACTTCAGAGAAGCTGAGAAGCAAGAAAGGTTTATGTTAAGCAAACACTTTTATCCAAAGCAACATACATTTTTAGGAGAGTATTGTCAGATAGTCCCAGGAGCAAATGCAGGTTAAAAGCCTTGCTGAGGGACCCAACAGTGAAACCATTCTGATTTTGGGATCCGAACCAACAACCAAATAAGAGACACAACCCCCTAACCCAGTATGCGACACACCCTCCAAAATGCAGCCTCAAAGCAGCCTTCAGATCCGCGGCTTGATGTCTGGCTGCCCATCTTGTCTTTCTTTCAAGGTGGATGGCGATCGTCGACCACCACTACCACCGTCATTGACAGCAAGAATGGCGACGTGGTGCAGCTGCCAGCCAGGTCCCCGAAGAAGACCGTGACTGATAACCTGTACACCACCTTCAGCTCGCCCCTGGCCTGGATCCTGGTCCTGGCCCTCATCATCACCTGGTCGGCTGTGGCCGTCATCATGTTCGACCTGCTGGATCAGAAGCAGCTCACGGGTAAGTCTGCCTTTCTTCCCACTTCCTGTTAACACAGAGCTGCTTCCCTTCCCTTTGGCTCCTCAAATGACGAAAGAAGCTGCAAGATTTTAGAAAGAAAAAAAGTAACCAATGTATTACTTGTTGTCATACTTATTAAGTGCCTTTTGGCGAAAGAAATTGCCTAAAGTATTAAATCATTGTGGCATTAATGAGTCGGTCAGCTGTAGGATCCCCACTTTCAATCAATGTGGCCATATTTAGAGAGAAAATGCTGTGCACTGTTTTGACCCAATAGGACAGGGGTGGGGAACCTGATTTATAGAGGGCCAGTGTGGGTGCAGGATTTTGGGAAGACCTCTCAGTCAGCCAATCATAAAGCAGTGGTTCTCAACTCCAGTACTGTGATTGGCTAATTGAGAGGGCATCCCAAGAACCCGCACCCACAGTGTCTCTGTGGATACGGTTCGCCATCCCTGCTGTAGAAGATGCAATTTGTCCCAGATTTTGTACTGTACACATTTTGGTGGAGGATGCAAAGCACTTTACACAATGCGTGTCGGACTATCAGCCTTAGTCTTGAATTCCTCTCATTGAGGTGGCTTGATGTTCAATAAAGCTCGTCAGGTCAGGAACCTTGTTCAGAGATACAGGTGATCTTACTACGAGGACTTGAAGTGCAGTTCAGATGTGAAATGGGCTCCTGAACAGGTGCACAGCCCACAAGGATGTTGACAAAGTGCTTAATGAAGGATTGCAGCTAAGCATGAGCAAATTGAAGCTGTTCGGGTCTTTGGAATTGTCAACTCTGGAAAAAAAGGACAAATCATAGAGTCACTTGGCATTATGTTGATGGCACACTGGGCCCAGGACACATACCCCTTTCTGGGCATAGGCTCGTGGAGAAGCTAGCGGGCTAGCTAGTGAGCAATAGGACCGATAGCGTCGGACATAGATTAAGTGCTCTGTTACTTGCTCAACGTCACCTCCAGTTGCATTTAGTCAGGCTGGCCTGTAAATGGATTGGGACACAGCCCAAGAATGCTGTCCAAAGTGCTTCAGGGCTTTCATTGGCTATATCCAGTCCCCACAATTACACCATGGGTAGTCTTTTTTTTGTGCAGCACTGCATTCTGGGATTTTTTTTTCATTTGCATGCCATAATACATTTTAATCATGCCGATCGCACCATAAAATGTTCAGTGCAGAATCCCGCTGTAGGATGTTACGGGCTTGTTCTTATGGTCAGAGCGCTAATTTTTCATGTCCCATATACGTCGTCTCATCTACGAGGTCACCGCGGCCCAGCCCGTACATTTAGGCAGCCATTTCACAGTGCAGCTGATAGTATAGTATCGGCTCCCGGGTCTGATGTGACCGTGATCCGTAATGCCCTGTTCTGCAATGCCAGGGGGCACAACCCCCTCTCCACTGCCCCCCCCCCCCCCCCCCCTCACTCAGCTCTGAAAGAGTTCACATGGCATCCTACTTCTGTTAATCATCACTGCTCCCAGTTAGATTCCCTATATTACATCTAATAAATGTCCCCTCCTTTTTCTACCACCCATCCCATGTGCCATCCTGTTTCCATCCAATTAAAAGCCTATACATATCACTGTGACGACCCCTGTTTACCACCCGGTAAAGTCCTTCTGCGTGCTGTGCGCTGTGTTTGCGCTTCGCCACAGTCGTGTTGCATGCGTGTGCTCGCACGTCTCTCTGTGTGCGTATGGGGCGTCCTCACATGGAATTTTTCATAATTCTGATTTTATATCGTTTGCATATCTGTGCTTGAGATTTTACCCAGAAGCCTAAGCGTAACCCCCCCCCCCCTCCCAGACACATAATCTTGAAGTTATGCAGAACCACTGTGGCATCTATCATCCTTCCAGCTGCTTATCCAACGCAGGATTTCCCAGGGGGCCTGGAGTCCATCCCAGACACCAAAGTGCCTAAGGCAGGGGGGCACCCCCGATGCCATGCCAGTCCATCAAAGGGCACACATTCACCCGCGCCATTCACAGGCGCCAATTTACAAAACTGCATGTGTTTGGACTGCGGGAGGAAACATGCTGTGTTAGGTGTAATTAAAGTGGTTTGTTAGCTATATACACACAGCGTGTTTTCAAAGTCATTATGATTATACACACCCAAAAGGCTTCTTTTACGCCATTTCCGTACCACCCTCCTTTAAGGCAGCCATTCTGGATAGATCGGAACAGCTGAGTGTGACACTCGTGGTGCGTGAAAGCATATACCAGCGCAGACAGACTGATGTAGACCACCGCGTATACTGCTATAGGTCTGCAATGCTTTAGCCCTGTTAGCTGAGCTCATGGGAGTTTTGCTTATACAACAATGTTCTGAGGGCAGAAGTAAAAATGATTGGTTCAGAGAGATAACCAATCAGATTAGAGGAGGTGCGACCAATTAATCAGAAGTCCCGCATTCTCTAGATGCTTGGACCCATCTCCTCTACAGTCTGATAGGTCACCTCTCTGAACCAATCATTTTTAGTTCTGCCCTCAGAACATTTTTGTGCAAGCAAAACTCCCACAAGCGTTAGCTGAGTACAGGGCAGTCAGACAGCCCTTTAGAACATGACATCTGAAGGCAACGTCAGCCTCATTTATTCTTGTGACAACTGCCCCATTCTTCCTTGTGAGACTATTGTGCTATTTAACCTGTTTGGGTCGTGGCACAAATTAGCCATAATTGCAGTAAAGCTAATATCAATAAGACTAATGAGGAATGGGTATCTCTTCACCTGGGTGGCAAGCCATGCACCTTCTGAATGCTAACATGCTAAAACCTATCGGCCTTGCGTGTGTTTGACTGGACGTTACAGCAGCGTGACAGGGAAACTTGAGCCGCTGTCTTTTCATTAAACCTGCCAACCTTGGGTTTAAATGAGCTGAAATTGCAGATGACTTTATATTTCGTTACGGGCACAGTGAATTTTAAGCACGGATATTCCTGTTGACACCATGACAAGGAGTATAGCGAAGAATCATGGGAAAGAAACATCAGGAGCTAAAGGTGGCTACCTGGTTTGTGGCTTGAAAGGTTAAACATTTAAGTTGATAAAAGGACTGAGGAAATATCTGCGGGGGGGGGCAACTTTGGTCAGCTGGCCGGAGTGATATTTTTAATTCGAGACAAGTCTGCACACACGTGCGCACATTTACATACGTGTAAGAGATTTATTACGTTAATAGTCTGTAGTGTTTGCAAACTACTCCAACGCTTTTGATGTCGCTAATTTTAAGTTTATAATGGTATAATATAGATTTGCTGTAAGATGTCTTATGTGAGAGTCTGAAAGGGTCAGTGTCACACCGGATGAGAGACAGTTGGTAACCTTGTAACGATTTATAAGAAGACGAAACTGAGACCATCACAGTTAAAGTTAAACATCACAGACAACATTTGACTAGGGGGGTCAACACAGAAAGAATAATTTATCTATAATTTTTCTGTAGAATCTAACATGGACAATGGACTGGATAAATCATGACAGTCATGGAAATATAGTGTAATTCAATTTGTAACCAATGCTTGTCAATTTACAAGCAAGTTAAAAAAAAAGTAGCAAAGGCAACACATTTTTTTCCTGACATGTTGATTGTTTAACAAAACAGCAATGATTAGTATAAAGAGTCCAGTCATTCTGCCATTTCAATTCATTATGCTAATCAAATAATGCTGCCGGCACATTTGCCCCTATTTTTACAGAGCAAATTAATTTCTGAGCATTACACAGAGTGAACCAAAAAAAAGTAAAGAGAATTGTGGCACTGACTGAATATGTTTATACAAAAAGGAAGGCAGTAGGCCTAGCTGGTTTTATTATTATTATTATTATTATTATTATTATTATTCATTAATTAATTCATTTATTCATTCATGCATCCACTTTGCAAACCCATCCTGCTCTATGCAGGGTCATTCCTTATTCCAGAAGCTATTATTATTATTAATAACTAAAACAAGTCAATAATAAAAATACACAGAACGCAGCAGTTATTTGGAGCTAAACCTGCAGATGACCTGCTTCTACGACCCACCCGGAAGGAAATTCTCTAACTTTATATTCACGCGGTGCTGTCCAGCAACCTCACATCTTTGTTTGTCTGACAGCCACGTCCCGGGGATTAAGAATCAGAAATCAATGTCTCGCCCCACAAAGAGGAAGCGTACGAGTGACCTGTGAGATAAGACAGAGATACGCGGCAGCCAAGATGTTCTCGGTTTTATAAAGAGCGCACACAAATCGATCTCCGTTCTCTGGGGAGCGTAGCAAATCACGGGCGCCGTCCCGGCCCTCGCGGAGAGCGGCCGCGTTGATGTCGCCTCTCAGAAGTTTTATCTGTCCTCTTTGCTTGTGCCCATGAATTTATATACTTTACACTCAGAGGGAGTAAAATCAATGGCTTATTTTTTGGTTGCTGTAGACTAATAAGCTTCCTCTCATCTAATGTATAGCTTAAGGCTGCAGGCAGGGCTGTCCTGGGGCGACAATCAGTAATGGGAAGTCATAAACAGCGGAATTTCCCAGAATAAATCCTTAAATGCGAAACGCATTTAACAAGGCAGCGTGTCATCCAGAGAAGATTGTTTGTGTGGGGAGACTGGCGGGGGGCGGGCGGGGCTGGCTGATCCATCCTCCGAGGAGAGCAACAGGTACGGCCATGCGTATGTCCCTCCTTGACATTTGGACAAAGGGCACCGTTTGTAAATTAATTGCCGCAGAGTCGCTCCCGGAGCGGCGGGGCTGAGTGTGCTGCTGTTTTGCCGAAATGCGACCGCTCTCTCACCGGGCTGTGCCGGGCTCGGCGTCTTACTCCCACCGTGCACGCTCTCAGGAGAGCGACTCTCTTGTTAACTCGTTAAACGGCCGGACGAGCAGATTGGCAGCGTGGCACCTTTCAGAAACCGCATGAATGCCAAGAAGATTCCCCTCACGACTGTGTTGCCATGGTGACAGCAACCACCACCCGCCCGCCTTGTCTTTTCCCACCTCCCTGAGTGACCTGAAACCCCATGCAGCTCCACACCATTCCCTCCTTCGCCTCCCGGCTTCGGGACGCTCCCCCCACTTGGACGGACAGAGTCCGCCGTCAACACATTTGATTTTCCACAAGAGGGGGATTATCAGAGATCAAAGAGCATGAAATGTTTAGGGATCTGAAACTATTTGGAAGCAGGTTAAAGTGTTAATCAAACAAATGCCATGGAATTCATCAGCATTTCATTAGCATTCGTGTCCGACAGCAATTCCCCGGTCCCACCTAGAGCTTGGATATGGGGCATCTCGACGTGCCGACCAAGCTTCCGCCATGGGGCCCTGTTCCCATGGCCACCGACGCATTGTGTTTATCAGCGATATCGGTTTCATTCATTCGGTAAGGTTAACGAGGATGTTAGCTTGTTACCTTGCAGAATTGACTGGAAACGTGGCCTTTCCGAGTGGTTCTGGGAGCAATGACTAGCTAATCACTGTGGAAGTGGGGGGGGGGGGGTAGAGGTTAGAGGATAGAGGATTAGGGGGTAGAGGATTTCTTTGCCTGTGTGAAATCAGATATGAATACAGTTCACTGGCAGAGGGTACAAAAGGGCTGAAGTAGTTAACGTGGGCGGACACATCATTACATTTACCCAACACTGCTGGCACCAGTGAATCACTTCTCTGAGTCATTCACATTCCAGGCAGACCATTGGACAATTCATCACTCTGTAAAGGTGATTGGGCCTTAATTGTCTATGTGGGAGCCCGGTGATAGGCTGGCTTCCCATCCATACTGTGCAGCACCATTTGGATTACATTTTATTTATTTAACAGACAACTGAGAAAGCCAGTCCTTGAAACAACTGGACATTAAGGGCCTTGCTGAAGTGACACCATTCTGCCAAGACTGGGATTTGAACCCACAACCTTCCGGTTGCGTCCATGGTGTCTGAACCCACTAAGCCTCACACTGCCCTGTGCCTTCTGCAATCGGCTGGTGGGCATAAAGTTATGGAAAATGCATATGTATATATGTCCATAGTGTGAATATTTAAGAATTTTAGCCTTTTTTTGTCTTTTTTTGTGTGCCGTTAATGCAGCCTGTGTTGCTACCTCTTATTAGGAGCTTATAAAACGCAGTGCATGCGGCCTGGTCATCAAGGAGGGCCGTTTTCGTGATGTGATGCTGATACTCACCCACAGCCCTTCATACGCTTCCTGTGCTGTTCCTGCTGTGTTTTGCATGCAATGGAGGCTGTGTGTGTGTGTGTGTGTGTGTGTAGGTGTACGCACGTGCGTGTGCGTCTCTGCCGCTCCTCTGCTCATGTGTCTCTCATCCTAACAGGACCACACCCACCTGGTATAAGAAAAGCAATAAAGGAGATCCAAAGTCCCAGAGGCAAGACAATCCATGACGCGTTTTAGCTCTTGCAGTGATTGTGTTGTTTCCTTGCCTACCAGTGTTCTAGAACATTCACATTGTATAATCGATTAACATGGAAATATAACATTCTCCCTATATTTGAAGACTGACACCAGTTAGGACTATGAAACTCTAAACAGACTAAAATAGCATTTTCAGTCACAAATAATGTAAAATGTATGTATGTTTTTTGCATTTCATGAACTGCAGTGATCTAATGATTAAACTTCAGAGAGATAACATCTGTGTGTGTAATTTTTCTTTTTGCAAGTCGAAAGTGTTTGAGGAACATGCATCTGGGAGAATCCACTGCCCGCTGGCTTTAACACACCTGTCGTACTCTGACGTGTGTCGATACAGTAAGAGAGCCACACAATTCTCACACCTTGACATTTCTGGGAAGGGCGCCGTTTGTTAAGCAGTCGCTGCTGATTGATTTAAAGCGCCATTCTCAGCAGCCAGACCTTGGTGGTTTGCATCCGGTCCACATGGTTCGGTCTTGTTGCGGTATTCGCGTGCTATGTTGTGACTCGCTGCTGTGTGTTCAGTCTGTCCTCCGCCCCTGCATGCCTGCATCCCCTGCTCACGTCTCAGCCTGCAAATAAAATAAAATGCCTCCCTGTCTGTGACATTTGCCCGCTGAACGCTACAGACAGGCGGGTGGTAAACACTGCATCAGGAAGGATCCGATATCACACATGATTACACACCAGAGGTCAGAACTTGCTGCTATTTACCCGAGGAAGTCTCACTCTCACTGTCACTCCGAGTCATTGGCATCATTGTTCCATAAGTCACACATCACTTCCATTTCATCTGTTTATTATTTTTTTTGGCTGGGGGGGTGTTAATCAAGCAAACATACACATTTGCATTCTCGCACCATAGGGCGCAACGCCTTATGAATTTTAAAGGAATATTTTAAATATGTATGACTCAACCGGAAAAATTAGCTGTGATTTACTTTCAAATGTGCCCGGTTGTTATTGTCACTAAAATATTTTGAATCGATGAACAGCACTGTGTCAACAAGAAATTAATTGAAGTTGTGTCATTCTCTTTTAAAGTGACTGTATCGACTATGAAATGTATGCCAGAGGTGCTTAATGATCGCTAGTGTTATTTATCTGTGCTGTGGGCAGCCAGTTGACCGTGATTAAAGCTGTCCTTTGGGGCTCCTCTCTTCCAGTCCTGAGGGGCTGCAGTATGAGTAGGTTCTTGATCCAGATTAAACAAAACGCGTTTACACTGCACTTTGAATCTGAATCTGAATCTGAAATTGTGATGCACCACATTCCAGCACTGTTGCATTATTGCAGAACATCGCCATTGATACAGCTTTGGACAGATTCACACTTGATAGACAGAACTTTCCCTGGTCCATTAATGTTTGTTGCATTTTTTTTTAAAAAATTTGCCCACCACCACCCCCTCTCTTCGGAGAACAACTTTATGTTTAATTACAACATACAAACAAACAAAAAAAAAGAATAAATGTTTACATTCACTTTTTTATCACACGTAGATGGGGGGGGGGGGGCCCTTTTATAAAAAAAAAAAACCTAAAAAAC